TTCCCTTGGGAAGCAGCACATGCCATCAGGAGCCATTCCAAGATCGGGTATTTCCACCTTTGAGCAGGAGCCCTGGGCAGAAATGGAATTACGGTGGGGCTAAGGAAGCTGCAGGGTCAGGGTCCCCACTTCCAAGCACGACCCTCCCAAGGCCCTCGTAAAATTAGCAGAAGCAGGGTATTCCAACTTCAGAGGGCTAAGGGTTCTGCCTCTTCTTCCACTGCGACTTTCCTTCACTTTTCTCCTCCGTAGTTGACTCTGGAATGGCCAAGGCAACGCTGGCATCTGCCTGAGGAGATCCAGATAGCTTACCTTCACCACCACACGTTGTTACCACCCTCCCCCAGCTGCAGGAGTGCTCCCAACGCCAACAGCTGACACCTACAGGTGCACACATGAGGTCAAGTGGCTCCTGCAACAGATGGCACCAGAAGTATGTGTGAGTGGTAGATAAACACAGTATAAAAAAATCTATGATGGTGGGCCCAGTGTGGTAGCCTAGTGACCAAACTCTTCTCCTTGAATGGATTTGCACTTCATGTTCTAGGATACGGAATCTCTCTCTCTCTCTCTCCATCACTCTACCTTTCAAATAAAATGGTTATACTGTATATATATGAAAAGAATTAAATATGAAGGCAGAAGGTAACCTGGGAAGTGCCATGATGCTTCAACTGGCTAATCCTCCACCTCCAAGCACCAGTAACCCAGATGGGCGCTGGTTCACATTCCAGCTGTTCACTTCCCATCCAGCTCCCTGCTTGTGGCCTGAAAAAGCAGTAGAGGGTGGGCCAAAGGCCTTGGGGCCCTGCACTCATATAGGAAACCCTGAAGAAGCTTCTGGCTCCTGGCTTCAGATTGGCTCAGGTCCAACCATTGCAACCATTTGGGGAATGAGCCAAAAGATGTAACATCTTTCTCTCTATACCTTCTTCTCTCCATAAAATCTGTCTTTCCACTAAAAATAATTAAATCTCCTTTTTAAAAAGATTTTATTTTTATTCTTCTTTTTAATGCAAAGTCAGATATACAGAGAGGAAGAGTGACAGAGAGGAAGATCTCCCATGCAATGACTCACTCCTCAAGTGGCCACAATGGCCAGAGTTGAGCTGATCCGAAGCCAGGAGCCAGTAGCCTCTTCCGGGTCTCCCACGTGGGTGCAGGGTCCCAAGGCTTTGGGCCGTCCTTGACTGCTTTCCCAGGCCACAGGCAGGGAGCTGGATGGGAAGTGGATCAGCCAGAATTAGAACTGGCACCCATATGGGAAACCAGTACATGCAAGGTGAGGACTTTAGCCACGAGGCTACTGAGCTGGGCCCAAAAAAATAATTAAATCTAAAAAACCAAAAACACCAGAAGGTAGCTTGAAGGAACTCTTCCAGCCACTCAGCACATGAGCAGAGGAGTCTGTCCCACACTGACAGCAGCAGGTGTAAATACATGCTATCTGTATAAAGGCACATGTATTCTCCTTTCTGGGTGAAAATGCTACAAAATAAAACTTAGCAGAATCCTTACACTTACATTTTTGATGACTGGTGTCAGTACAGAAAATAAGAATGAGGTTTTCAAAGATAAATTAGTGGTGCTGGTGCAATAGCTCAGTTGACGAATCTTCCACCTCCAAGTGCCAGCCCATGTTATGAAAAATCAAAGCAAAATAATAATAATAAAGAATATTTGAAGATGCTCTGAAATCTTGCAGCTCATAAATGGAAGAAATTTCATTGTTTTCCTCCAGTTTGATAACCACCCTGAAAATGTATACATAATTGCCAGTAACAAGTTATGAGGCTGAAAACTACTTAAAACTGACAAGAGACAAGTGAGAAATTTGACTTTCCATGCTACGGGAAGACTGAATTATGTGACAACATTTCCTCTCTAAAACTGCACTATCAAAGAATCATACAAGTGAATAAGAAGAAAGACTATGCAGCCAAAAGTGTAAAAATTGTATTCAAGCCTGTCATTTATCTAATCAGACTGTCACGAGACTTTTTGTGTTCGTGATACATGTTATTTTTTTTAAAGATTTATTTTTATTATTTTTTCATTGGAAAGGCGGATATACAGAGAGGAGAGACAGAGAGGAAGATCTTCCGTCCGATGATTCACTCCCCAAGTGAGTGCAACGGCCGATGCTATACCGATCCGAAGCCAGGAGCCTCTTCCGGGTCTCCCACATGGGTGCAGGTTCCCAAAGCTTTGGGCCATCCTCGACTGCTTTCCCAGGCCACAGGCAGGGAGCTGGAAGGGAAGCGGGGCTGCCGGGATTAGAACCGGCGCCCATATGGGATCCCGGGCGTGCAAGGCGAGGACCTTTAACCACTTGCGCCACCGCGCCGGGCCCGTTATTTTTTTTTAATTTGTATTTTTTAACCTGTTATTTTTTAAAAAAAAATCACCTTCATTCCTATTTCCACATTTGTGGGCAGAGGTGGTGGCACAGCACCTTAAACCACTGCTAGGGATGCTTTCATCCCATATTGAGTCCTGGTTCCAGTCCTGGTTACGCCACTTCCAAATGCATCCTGGGAGGCAGCAGGTCACTTGGCCCAAGTGGAGTTACAAGCTCCTGGCTTTGCCTGGCCAGCCCTGACCGTTGCGGTCGTTTAGGGAGTGAAACAGGATGGAAGCTCTCTTTCTCTCTCTCTTTCTTTCTTTCTTTTTTTGTTGTTAAGATTTATTTATTTTTATTGCAAAGTCAGATATACAGAGAGGAGGAGAGACAGAGAGGAAGATCTTCCATCCGATGATTCACTACCCAAGTGAGCACAATGGCCAGTGCTGCACCAGTCCAAAGCCAGGAGCCAGGAACTCCCTCCAGGTCTCCCACACAGGTGCAGGGTCCCAAGGCTTTGGGCCATCCTCGACTGCTTTCCCAGGCAACAGGCAGGGAGCTGGATGGGAAGTGGAGCTGCCGGGATTAGAACCGGTGCCCATATGGAATCCTGGCACGTTCAAGGCGAGGACTTTAACTGCTAGGCCACTGCGCCAGGCCCTCTCTTTCTCTTTCTTGCTCTGTTCTGCCTCTCATATAGATGAAAACAAATACATATGTACCATGTATTGGTAATCTAATGGTTTTTTTTTTTTTTTTTACCTTATAAAACCCCTCCCATTGTCTCCCAACCTTGGGATTGTACATCTTGATGTTCTACCGACCTGGCTGGCAGACACGAGGCGAGTGCTCAGCTGCGGCCACAGCTCTGTGACGTTTGCTGCTGCTTGCTCAGACAGCACGCCCCGAGATGAGGACCTTCATGTCCTCTGGGCTGATCAGGCTCTGAAATATGGGCACAGGTTAGAAACGTCTCCAGAGTGGCTCAAACGACAACACCTCTCTGTGAGGTTATGTTAGGTCATCAGTATCCTTGCCAGGCCACACCTTTGCTCCTTGGAGGAACCCACAATCAGCAGGAACCTGCCATATGCTGCCTGGACCTGTAGCCCATTGTTCTGGAAACAGTGTGTCCAGAACTCCAAAACACGCCCATGCCCTTAGTGAAACCCAACTTTACTGGGAAAAAGAATGCCTGGTGTTTAAACAAATAAGCCTGAAAGTGTTTACAACAGCAAGGCGCACCTTACCTTCAAAACTGAAGAATGATTGTGCTCGCTTCGGCAGCACATGCACTAAAATTGGAACAAAACAGAATGAGTTTGCGCTGGCGCCACCTAGTGACCAAAAGGAGTAAATTTCGCTCCCCTCAAATGTCAAAAACGAAAATCCGCACTGCTTCTTTCACCTGCTTTGCTTGACATGTCAGTCCTGTAGTTTACTCAGCTCCACCATGATTGGAAGTCACCAGTTCAGCTGTCTGAATCTTATAGACAGGCAAACATCAGTCAGGCCGAGATGAAATAGAAACTGGGAAGAAAGCATAGGGCCCTTTTTTTAAAAAAAAGATGTATTTATTTTTATTGGAAAGGCAGATTTACAGAGAGAAGGAGAGACAGAGAGGAAGATCTTCTGATGGTTCACTCTTCAAACGGCAACAACCAGACCTGAGCCAATCTGAGCCCAGGAGTTTCTTCCAGGCCTCCCATGTGGATACAGGGTCCCAAGGCTTTGGGCCGTCCTCTACTGCTTTCCCAGGCCACAAGCATGGAGCTGGATGGAAAGTGGAACAGCTGGGATTAGAACCAGAGCCCATATGGGATCCTGGCTCATGCAAGGCGAGGACTTTAGCCACTGGGCTACCGCGCTGGGCCCCACACCTGGCTTTTATGGTCACCTACTGCGGTTTTCATTCCAGACATCTGTGTGGCACAGACAGGAGACTGGAGGCTGGAAAGAATTCAGTGTTCTAAGCACGTGTTTTGCCAAACAGCCTGAGCTCATTTCTGTGTGATCTCAAAAAAAAAAAAAAAAAAAAAAGCCCCTGCCATTGTTGTACCCCAGCATCTTTGTGCAAAGGAAATTGTAATTACAGTCTGTCCCCACATGCAATCCCAAGGCCCCTGCCCTGCCCACCTCGTCGCCCCTGACAAGCAAGCCTGTGGAAGCTCCTGGCACCTCCAGAACGAGCAGCAAGTTCCTGCGCCCCCACGCCCTGCCCGGGGGACAAGTAATTTCTAATTCCGTGGTGTCAGCAAAGGAAGCTGGGTTACAAATGTTTTCCAAAATACCAACAAAGCCTAGTTCAAGAAGTTCAAATTTATTAAAAAAAAAAGAAAGAAAGAAAGAAAGAAAAGGCTTCAAATTACTTTAAAGTCACTTTAAAACATCAACTTGTAGCTGTGGCCAAACTCGTGATACGGCTGTGGTAAAAAGGTTCGGTGAGGCCGAACGCGCGTCAGCATGGCGCAGGCGCACCAGGGCACTCAGGGAAGGGCGCAGGCGCACCAGGGCGCTCAGGGAAGGGCGCAGGCGCACCAGGGCGCCGTCCGGCTCACGTTGACCACCATCTTCCGCCTCTGCGCATGCGCAATGGCACGGCGACAGCCCCCGCCGGCCGCAGCAGCCTGGCTTCCGGTTCCGCCTGCCGGGACCGATGGCGGCGTCCGCGAAACTGGTCCGAGGGGGCGTTCAGGAAGGCGCGGGGAACGTGGAAGCGCGAGTTCTAGAACCCGGGGCTGCCCCTTACGGAAACTTCCCTCATTATTCCCGCTTCCACCCTCCGGAGCAAAGGCTCCGCCTGCTGCCCCCGGAGCTGCTCAGGCGGCTCTTTCCTCCCGAGGGTCCCGACACGAGGCCGATCCTGGGGCTCGACGTGGGGTGTAACTCCGGGGTGAGTGAGGGAGCGGGCGCGGGGCTCCGGAGCCCCGTGGTGGGCCATCACACCCCAAAAGGCCCTCCCAAAATGAGCCTTCCCCGCGGCCTTGCCTGCCTGCGGCACTTGTCAGCCAGGGTGGTCCCCCCACCAAGTCGCCTAGGAATCCTGAGGGCAGAACCCTGGATCCTGACGGGAGAACCCTGGATCCTGACGGGAGAACCCTGAATCCTGAGGGCAGAACCCTAGATCCTGAGGAGAACCCTGGATCCTGAGGGGAGAACCCTGGACTCCTTCTAAATCCGTGTGTGTGTGTGTGTGTGTGTGTGTGTGTGTGTCCCACAAAGGACTGAGCCCTGAGTCAGGAACAAGCAGTGCCTTGACAGGACCGTGCTGAGGTTCCAAAAGGAAGATACAGGGCTGGGCCCAAGGGCATGGGGGGTTGCCATCGTCACACCTCACCACCAAACGTGCTGTGGCATCTCATAGTTGTTGTCAAACCACAAGGAAAATAAGGAAAGGCCTCTCCCACACCTGCTGGGACATCCCAGAGGAGCGGGCCGCCTGCATCTGGAGGGAGGAAACTGTGCTGTGTTGGTGGCCACGGGCAAAGAGGTTTCCGTGTGGAAGGCTCAAGACCTCCCATGTGGGAAACCTGAACTGATTCCTCAGCTCCTGGATGGCATTGGCCCGAATACTTGAGCCATCACCTTCTGCCTGCTCCATTGCTCATTGGTAGAGTCTAACCAGGAGCAGAGCCAGGGCTCTGTCAGATACTCCACTATGAAAGGCAAGCTCTCCAACCAGTGCCTTCTCTTCAGGCCACAGGCCTGCCCTTTTAACCATCATTTCAAAGTGGTTTTTGCGTGAAGAATATCACCCATATAGAATAGAGCAAACAGGTCTACATTTCAAGAGTTACAAGCATGTTTATGACTACTGTCTGGATCAAGAATGAAATACTATCCCCACCCCAGAATCCCCCAATATGCTTTCTTCTTCAGATTACCCCACTCTCCACCTAGACAAAATAACTAGTCTTTTATTTTCATTTCCTGGCACTTTAAAAAAAAAATAGCTTACTATTTTCTAAAGTGCTTAGTATAAATTTTCTCATTTTAAGCTTCATTTTAAAAATTTATTCCTATTAGAAAGGCAGATATACAGAGAGAAGGAAATACAGAGATAAAAATCCTTGTGTCCACTGGTTCACTCCCCAAGCTGCTGCAACAGCCCAGAGCTGGGCTTCCAAAGCCAGGAGCCAGGAGCCTCTTCCGGGTCTCCCATGTGGGTGAAGGATTCCAAGGCCTTGGGCCGTCCTCCACTGCTTTCCCAGGCTACAAACAGGGAGCTGGATGGAAGTGGAACAGCCGGGATTAGAACTGGCGCCCATATGGGATCCTGTCACATGCAAGTCGAGGACTTTAGCCACTAAACTATCGCACCAAGCCCCTAAACTTGATTTATTTAAGTAGCTGCTTGCCAAATTTTATTTGTGACTCACTTTTTCACTCAGCATCATGTGTTTATGATGCATCTGTGTCATTGCACTGGGCTGATTTCCTTCATTGTTCACAGCTGTCTAGTATCCCATCTTAACGACTATATCATTTATTCATGCTACTGCTTTTAGACGTCTGGATGGCTTCCATTGTGTATTTTCTGCACCCGCACAAAATACATAAATATTTTCCTGACATGATAACAAATGAAGAAAATTATTTGACAAAACTATAAAATAACATCCGAGATTTAATGGTTGTAGAAATCAAAGAGGAAAGAGATAGTGGCTTGGCTATAGAAGCAAAAGATGGTGAACACAGCTGGAGAATAAAGGCTGATTGAGGATTTCAGAACTATAGGTCTGAGAAATTGATTTTTTTTTAAGAAATTGATTTTTTAAAAGATAGTGCCTGTTATATTCCTAACTTCCTGGTAATAGAACTTCTTTATGCTTCTGGACCCTTTTGCTCCTGCCTGGGGTGTGAGATACACCAGAAAGGATAGCGAGGTGGCTGTCACAGTACTTCACCTGGAAGGTACTGCTCCGAGTGTAGTTCCTTTGCTGCATCCTCTGGGCTGTAACTTTGGACAACCCAATCTTCTGGGCAAGAAAATTCCAGGATAGGGACGATGCAATACAGCATGTGGCCTCTGGAGGGCGCCGAGAGCACGCTGGAAAAGCGACACGCCCTCTGTGGGTCATGCTAGGGGAGGCTGGTTTGTGATGAAGCCAGGTTGAGTGGCAGTCTCAGTGGGAAAAAGAGAGATGGAGCGTTCCCTTGCATTCATGGTTGGAAGCTGCAATGACAAAGCTCTTTTGGGTTCCTCTAGGATCTGAGTGTGGCTCTATACAAACACTTCCTCTCCGTGCATGACGGGGAGGCCAGCTCAGAGGCCTTGGATCTCCGTCTGCTCTGCTGTGACATAGACCCAGACCTGGTGGAACGAGCTGAGAAAGAATGTCCTTTCCCCAACGCCTTGACCTTCATCACCCTGGACTTCATGAATCAAAGGACGCGCAAGGTCCTCTTGAGTTCTTTCTTAAACCAGTTTGGACGTTCAGTGTTCGACATTGGCTTCTGCATGTCAATCACCATGTGGATCCACCTGAACCATGGCGACCACGGCCTGAGGGAGTTCCTGGCCCATCTGTCCTCCCTCTGCCGCTACCTGCTGGTGGAACCACAGCCCTGGAAGTGTTACCGGGCAGCTGCACGGCGTCTCCGCAAGCTCGGACTCCATGACTTCGATCACTTCCACTCCCTGGCCATCCGAGGGGACATGGACACGCAGATTGTGCAGATCCTGACCCAGGACCATGGCATGGAATTGGTATGCTGTTTTGGCAGCACCAGTTGGGACCGAAGCCTTCTGCTCTTCAAGGCAAAAACCATAGATTCATCCAACCCCTAGATCACTGCTGTAAGAAGGGAAAGAGAGGAACTAATGATTCTAGAAGAAGATCAAGAGACAATGAGAGGGTTCTATACTGGGAATTGTGCTCTCTCTATTTAGCCTTCAAGTAGTCTCAAAACCTGGCAGAAGCTTTTGGCAGCAGTTTACAAGGCCTGCAGTGGAAGAAATCTGTTTCTATTACTTTAGACAGTCCCTGAGTAGAACAAATCCATAGAACAATGGGTTTGGCCGTCTGGGTTCATAATCTGAATCTCTGAAACATCTTTTTAAAGACCAGTCAATGCGGACTGGTGCCGTAGCATAGTGCGTCAAGCCTCTGGCTGTGCTGCCAGCATCCCCTAGGAGTTCTGGCAGCTACACTTCCAATCTAGCTTCCTGCTAATGTGCCTGGGAGAGCAGAGGATGGCCCAAGTCCTTGGGCCTCTGCACCCAGATGGTGACCTGGAAGAAGCTCCTGGAGGTCAGTACATGATCTCCGAATGATTACAGTGGTCCCAGAGCTGAAGTTGGCCTCTCTGGGATCTTAATGGAGGAACACTCCAGAAACCTTGTGACCCTGCTGGGGACACTCATGAAGCCAGTCCCGAGAACCGGGCTAAATGTTGTCCCCCAAGTTGTCGACATTCCAGCTCCTCACAGCTGTGAATGTTGCCTTGGAGAGCAAACAGATTCTGCAGATGTGATTAAGAATTAAGGATGGGAAGATGAGCCTGCATCATTGGAATGGGCAGCATTCCAATGTCCTTGTAAGATGACAGCAGTGGGAGGTTCGGCCACAGAAGAAGGTGCTAAGACAGAAGCAAGAGGCCGGAGTGACGTGAGGGAGGGCTGCAAGCCAAGGAATTCCGGAGGCTTCTGGAATTACAAAAGGCCAGGAAATGAATTCTGCCGCGGGGCCTGCAATAGCATGCCTGCCACCACCTTGATTTTACATTGTTGACCTGCAGATCTGTAAGAATAAATCTGTATTGTTTCAAACCACAGAGTGTGTAGTGCTTTGTTGAAAGCAGTAACTGGAAGCCAGTACAAGGACTTTGGCTACAAGGAGACTGACTCCAAGCAACATACCTGGCAGAAATTGGGTCCACATGATCAAAGATACGCAAGGGCTCCATGTTCCCAGGAAAATTCTGCCAGCTGAGAAATTGACTGTTGGGAAAAGCTGTCACCACTTTTTAAATTTTTACTTTTAATATTGTTTACAGAGTTGAAAGGGATGCATGCTCATGTGGGCCTCTGATCAGAGTGGGGAGGGTCAGGTACAGAGGAAGGTGCGTAGGACATATGTTTAAGTCTTTTTTTTTCCCCTCCCTCCTGTTTCGGCAGGGGAAGAAGGGAAGAGGGCAGTTCCATGCTGTCAAAACTATATGAGGAGGGCCCGGCACAGTGGCCTAGCAACTGGGGTCCTCACCTTGGGTGCATCAGGATCCCATATGGGTGCTGGTTCTAATCTCAGCAGCCCTGCTTCCCATCTAGCTCCCTGCTTGTGGCCTGGGGAAGCAGTGAAGGATGGCCAAAAGCCTTGGAACCCTGAACCCACATGGGGGACGTAGAAGAGCTCCTGGCCTCAAATTGGCACAGTTCTGACTATTGCAGTCACTTGGGAAGTGAACCATCTGACAGAGGATCTTCCTCTGTCTCTCCTCCTCTCTTATATCTGACTTTGTAATAAAAAATAAATCTTAAAAACATACATGAGGGGATATGGGATGGTCCTTTTTATAAATTTTTATTATTTTTTCAGCCTATGGAACTGTATCATAAAATAATAAAAAAAAATACAGAACATTTTTGTTGTTTTTATTGGAAAGGCAGAGAAGATTTAAGGAAAGAAAGATCCTCCATCTACTGATTCACTCCCCAAGCGGCCGCAGTGGCTGGAGCTGAACTATTCCAAAGCCAGGCACCTCTTCCAGGTCTCCCACATGAGTGCAGGATCCTAAGGCTTTGGGCTGTCCTTGACTGTTTTCCAGGCCACAAGCAGGGATCTGGATGGGAAGTGGAGCAGCTGGTAATTAAACCAGTGCCTGTATGGGATCTCAGAGCTTGAAAGGTGAGGATTCAGCCACTGAGCCATTGTGCTGGGCTCAGAATGGTCCTTTGATGGTGTCCCAGAGATCCCCCTACATGAGGGAGAGTGTTCAAGGGTGTTACTTGAGTCGTCTTGATAGCCCCAAGAGGTTGTTGTTTCAGGGTTGAGAAAATCTTTCCAAGGTCTACTGGTTAACAAAGTCCGTCTTAGTGCACCCACAGACCTAGGAACATGCTGCAAAGCTTGGCCAGAATTGTCCAACCTGTTCTGCTTTCCATCCTCTGAGAAGGCAGTCAAAGTCCCCTGCTGGCCTAGATGAGCTGTCCATCATGTCCCCCGTGTGTACTGGACATGCTCTCCACTGTACAGGCATCAAGCAGCTGTCCTATTTTAAGTCTGCGACAGTTAATTTTGGAGATGTGGAATTCATGTGTGTGAAGATGAGGACCTGCAGCATTTTATGCAATTCAGTATGTCAAAAATAATATAATTTCAGTATGCAGTCAGTACTTATATTAAGTCTTTTTTTTAAAAAAAAAGATTTATTTATTTTTATTGCAAAGTCAAATACAGAGAGGAGGAGAGACAGAGGAAGATCTTCCATCTGATGATTCACTCCCCAAGTGAGTGTGACGGCCGGTCCTGTGCCAATCTGGAAGCCAGGAGCCAGGAACTTTCCTCCAGGTCTGTGGGTGCAGGGTCCCAAAGCTTGGATCGTCCTCGACTGCTTTCCCAGGCCACTAGCAGGGAGCTGGATCAGAAGTGGAGCTACTGGGATTAGAACCGGTGCCCATATGGGATCCTGGTATGTTCGAGGCGAGGACTTTAACTGCTAGGCCATGTCATTAGGCCACGGCACCACGCCCCTTATATTAAGTCTTATCAGGTTTGTACTTTACATTTCCAGCTCATTTCAGTTTGGACCAGCCACACTTCATGTCATCTCATGGATAATGGCAAATCAAGAAGTATTTTGTTAGGGGTGGTTTTATGGTGTCGTGGGTTAAGCTGCGCCTTGGTATGCCTATACCACCTATCAGTGTTCTGGAGTAAAGTCCTGCCTCTGCTTCCGGCCCAGCTTCCTGCTCATGTTCCTGGGAGGCAACAGAGGACATTCCAAGTAGTTGGGTCCTTGCCACCCAGTGGAATTCCTGGTTCATGAGTTTGACCTGGCCTGGCTTGGCCGTTAAAGGCATTTGGGAGTAAACCAGAAAATGGAAAGTCAACCTCTATCTTACTTTCAAATAGATAAATAAAAGGAACTGTCTTCCTCCAACTTTTAGCTGTTTTGAAGGTTAAGGAAAGGGTAAATTAAACAACCCCAAACTTCTAAAGTTTGTATTTGATTCATCCGGCAAATATTCAGACACTAAGGAGAAAAGCTTTCAAAAAGTCTGGTCAGTATTATGGCTCAGCAAGTTAAGCTGCCACCTGTGATTCTGGCATCCCACTGAGCACTGGTTCAGCTGCAGTCCATGCTGTTCCACTTTGAATTCAGCCCCCTGGGAAAGCACTGGAAGATGGCATGTGTAATGGAAGACCTGGGTGGAATTCCTGGCTCCTGCCTTCAAGCCTGGCCCAAGCCTGGCTGTTGTGGCCTTTGCGGAGTGAGCCAGTAGAGGGGCTATCTCCCCTTCCACTCCTGCTGCTCTCTGTAATTCTGCCTCTCAAAAATAAATAAAGATTTTAAAAGTAAGCCTGTGTGGGCATGGAAGACTTTCTGGAAGATTCTGGTCTTCTGTCTGTGAAAGGAATATTGCTTTGGAAGCAGTGGACAAAGAAAGCAGCATCCAAGGAGGCTTACAGTCAGGACTGGCTACCCTACAATGAGCACCTTATGCTGGGCAGGAGAAATGATGGTGACCTTTGCCACGTAAATCAATTCTAGGTAGGATGACTTATCAGCAAAAAGGAAACTATAAGCATACCAGAGAATAAAAATAATTTTAATGGACTACTTTCCAAAGAATAAAAAAGCCATATGTGAAAAGATAAACAAATTCAACGACACAGGGCAAAAGAGTAAAACAGCCAAAATCCAATGAAAACGCACAACAAACTGCCAGCTAGAAAAAGTACTTGTGAATCCTGTGACAAATGACTAATTTCATCACAATATGCAAATGTGTAAATGTATCAGAAATCAAGACATACACAGGGGCCAGTGCCATGGTGTAGCAGGATGAGCCTCTGCCCTCACAGTTGGCATCTCCTGCGGGCACTAACACTTGAACTGGTGCCCATATGGAATGCTGGCATAGCAGGTAGAGGATTAGCCCACTGTGCCAAAATGCTGGCCCTTTAATTAGCTATTTTTAAGATAGTAATAAGAGGGGGGCCCGGCGCTATGGCACAGTGGTTAAGGTCCTCGCCTTGCACGCCTGGGTTCCCATATGGCGCCGGTTCTAATCCCGGCAGCCCCACTTCCCTTCCAGCTCCCTGCCTGTGGCCTGGGCAAGCAGTTGAGGACGGCCCAAAGCTTTGGGACCCTGCACTCATGTGGGAGACCCGGAAGAGGCTCCTGGTTTCAGATTGGCTCAGCTCCAGCCGTTGCAGCCTGCTGGGGAGTGAATCATCGGACAGAAGATCTTGCTCTCTGTCTCTCCTCTCTGTATATCCGCCTTTCCAATACAGATAAAATAAACCTTTTTTTTAAAAAAAAAAAAAAAGATAGTAATAAGAGGGCACAGTGCAGTAGCCTAGTGGCTAAAGTCCTTGTCTTGCACTCACAGGGATCTTATATGGGTGCCAGTTTTAATCCCGGCAACCCTGCTTCCCATCCTGCTCCCTGCTTGTGGCCTGGGAAAGCAGTCGAGGACAGCCCAAAGCCTTGGGACCCTGCACCCATGTGGGAGACCAGAAGAAGCACCTGGCTCCTGGCTTCAGATTGGCTCAGCTTGGGCCATTTTGACCACTTGGAGAGTAGAGTAATGGATGGAAGATCTTTCCTTCTCTCTGTAAATCTGACTTTCCAATAAAAATAAATAAATCTTTTTCAAAAAAATAGTAATAATACGGGAGACTAGACAATCTTGTACCCTTTTAAGTTGGAAATGTTTAGCATGATGAATTTGAAGCCTAATTTGTCAGTATTCATCAGAATGCATGCTGTAGGGATAGACACATTTAGTCTAGCAGACAAGACGCTTGTGTCAGTGCCATTTGCAACACTGGCATCACTTGTCAGAGTGCCAGTTTGAGTCCCAGCTGCTACACTTTGTGATCCAGCATTGCTACTACTGTGCCCAGGAAGGTGGCAGAAGATGGCCCAAGTACTTGGGCCCCTGCCAATCACGTGAGAGACCTGGGTGGAGTCCTGGGCAGGCATCTGGGGAGTGACCAGTGAATGGGATGGTTCTGCCTCCCCATCTCCCTCTGCATTTCAAATAAAATGTAGTTAATTGAGCATATATGCACAGGAGGTAGTAAAACAACTAAAAGCAAATCACAAAGAATGGTGTAAGTATTTGGCAATGCCAAAACATAAAGCAGAAGCATCTGACATAGCAGCTAAGATGGCACTCGGTGCTTGGCCTGCCTGCATCCCCAATTAGAGTGGTTGGGTTCCAGGGCCAGCACCACTTCTGCTTCCAGCTTCCTGCTAATGCACACCCTAGGAGGCCGGAGGCGAATGCTCCAATTATCGGTTCCCCACCACCAATTTGGGAGACTCAGATGGAATCCCTGGCTCCCGGCTTCAGCCTGGCCCAGCCCCAGCTGTTGTAGGCATTTGGGTAACAAAACTAACAAATAGAATCTCTCTCTCTCTAATAAATAAAAATAAACATTTTTCAAAGGGGCTAAAACAGCTTATTCCTGAGTGGATAGAGCAGCAATTTTTTTCTGTTATTTGGTTTCTTTTTTTTTTTAAGATTTATTTTTATTATGTTTTTATTGGAAAGGCGGATATACAGAGAGGAGAGACAGAGAGGAAGAACTTCCGTCTGAT